GAGTCAATGAAGGGTCTATCTAGACGTTGGGAGCTCAGTCTTCTCTCCCCGCGACAGGCTGCCTTTTCAGCCACGTGTGTGTTCCTGAGTAAGTATCTTGAGATACAGATTTGCATTACTTTGAAGTCGTTATTAATGGTTAACTTAGAGTTACGCTTTGCTTGTGCTTTTGAGAATAGGTCATTTTGTATTGATCTGTTTTTGCAGTACCCAGACATCTGGCACTACCTTAGTGGCTCTAGCAAAATGCTGCAGTTCTATACTTAGAAGCCATCTGAGAGCCATGTCCTTAGATGAATATTCTTGTACATCCAGCCTGATGGAAAACAAATGTTTGCACAGGTAAAGCTGTCTGTCAAGGATACTGATGCAAAAGAGTTTAAGGTGTCTCAGCAGAATGTCAATTAAGTCAGTAGAATCTGTTGGATGCATGATGCTATTCTGTAGTTAACCGTGCAGAGCTTTGCAAGACCAACAACACATGATCCTCGGTTCCCTTTTGACAATTCTCTTGATGTGTTCTTTGCTCTCCGAGGGTTTCTGTTCAGAAACAGCGTGTTCAAGCTGGGGAGGGAAAACAAGCAGCTGAGATGGCATTGTTAGCTTGCTTCAGGCGTGCTCACAGCTTACATTCAGCGCTGTATTCGTAAGTGTTCTCTGTGTTCTTGGAGATGGATCACTGTAGGCAAGAAAAAAGAAGTGGGTCTCCTTACTACTTGGGTTCCTCTAATCAGAGCTTTTTTTCTTAATCTGTCGTCTTCCTGAACTATCTGGTGTCTTTTGGTGTAGTCTTACAAAAGTTTACCTCAGCACAAGGCCTGTTAATGCCATCAAACTTCTCTAGCAAAGTGTCTACGTACTCACGTAGCAGAGTATGTCAGTGTTTCAGCTGGTGCACAAGGGAGGTGACACTGCAGTTGGATGTCAGTCCCCACAGTGGCTGAACACCCCGCCACTGGTTTGAGAGGCAAGACTGCAGGGACTGCCTGGTGTGCCTCTTGGAGGCTGGGCACGAAGATGGTGATAGCTTCAGGATTCTACACCCGGGATGGGGTAATCCTGGTTATACAGAATCCCAGGATCATCCAGGATGGAAAAGCCCTTGCAGTTCCTCCAGCCCCACCATGACCCTCCCCCTGACCGTTCCCAACTCCCCCAGATCCCTCAGCGCTGGCTCAGCCCGACTCTTCAACCCCTCCAGGGATCCCGGGGACTCCCCCCTGCCCTGGGCAGCCCATTCCAACGCCCAACAGCCCCTTCTGCACAGAAATCCTTCCTCAGAGCCAGCCTGACCCTGCCCTGGGCAGCTTGAGGCCATTCCCTCGGGGCCTGGCGCTGGGGCCTTGGCTCCAGAGACTCATCCCCCCTCTCTGCCCCCTCCTGGCAGGGAGTTGCCGAGGGCCAGGAGGTCTCCCCTCAGCCTCCTCTGCTCCAGACTGAACCCCCCCAGTTCCCCCAGCCGCTCCCCAGCAGACCTGTGCTCCAGACCCTGCCCCAGCTCCGTTGCCCTTCTCTGGCCACGCTCGAGTCATTCAATGGCCTTTTTGGGGTGAGGGGCCCAAAACTGAACCCAGGAATCGAGGGGCGGCCTCCCCAGTGCCGAGCCCAGGGCTCAGATCCCTTCCCTGGCCCTGCTGGCCACGCCAGGGCTGGCACAAGCAATACACACAAACGGAGAGATGAGAGGCTGGAGAGCAGCCTTATGGGAAGAGATCAGGGGATCTGGGTTGATGGCAAGTTGAATGTGAGTGAACAGTGTGTCCTGGTAGCCCAAAGGGCCAGCTGTGTGCTGGGGTATGTCAAGCACAGCGTAGCTAGCCAGTTGAGGGAGGGGATTGTCCTGCTCTGCATCGCACTGGTGGTGGGTGCAGTTTTGGATGCCCTGATAGAAGGAGGACATGGCACTGTCAGAGTGAGTCCGGGGGAGGGTGACAACACGGTGAAAGGCCTTGAGGGCAAGATATGTGAGGAGGAGCTGAGGTCACTTGGCTGGATCAGCTTGGAGAAGAGGAGGCTGAGGGTGACCTCATCACAGATTACAGCTTCCTCTGGGGGGGCAGTGGAGGGGGAGGTACTGAGCTCCTCTCTCTGGTGACCAGTGATAGGATGTGAGGAAATGGGATGAAGCTGCGTCAGGGGAAGTTTGGATTGGACATTAGAAAAAAAATTGCATTCCCTTGGCAGGAGCGGTGTTGAAGATGGAAGATCTTACTTTCAGCAGCAAAATTGGCATTGGATTCAGAATTATCACATTAAAATACCATCAAATGGGCCATTTGAGCAGGAAGACTGTGGATGCTGTTGTTATACTCATAGGAAATCATTGCATATTAATATCTTTAATTATATCTCTCTTGTTTTATATTTTTATCATATAGATATATTCTAAACAAATAAAGATATTCTAATAGGAGTGTGTGCATTAACAGATTGACTTATTTCCTTGTCTCTCCAAATTTGAAGACCCTTCATGAGAAAATGGAAAGAAATATTTGATGCAGCCTAGTGCTTCAAATCTTGAACTAATTCTTGGTGGTCCTTGGCCACAGAAGGTATCTAAAGGGGGTCCATGGTGGAGGAAGGGCTGAGAACCCCTGATGTAGGAGATTTCTGGCATTGCTTGAGGACAACTCTTTGAGCCAGGTGCTGGATAAACTGGCTGGAGGAGATCTGTCAGAGAAGAGAGCTGGCTGGGAGTACGAACAGTGGTGCCCAGCAGCACCTTTGGTTTCAGAGATTGTGAAATGAGAGTTTAAGATCAAATGGGAAATGAGCAAGGTGAGTAGAAGGATAAAAATGCCTGGCTTTGGCTTGTTTGGAGAACTGAGACGTGGGATCCTACAGGAATCTTCCCTGTAGAGTGGAGAAACACAGGAGAGCTTGTTGATCTTCAAGAGCATCCTTCTTGGAGCACAGGAGGGGTCCATCAGGGCTTGCAGGAAGCCAGGCAGGTGTGGCAGGAGCCCAGCCTGATCATCTTGCTGAGCTCAACTACGGGAAAAAGCCCTACAGAAGGAAGATGTGGGGACAGGTTACCTGGGAGAAATACCGAGAAGCATCCTGTGGGCATGCAAGGATATAATTAGAAAAGCTTTGCTTCTTTTTTGCTCTTAATGACGAGATTCCCCGGTCGAACACGGTATTAGCTTGCATTGTGGTTGTGCCTAGTGAAAAATTAATGAGATGTGTTGTTGCTGCTCTAGGTATGAGCAAGGTGGGACTTGTTGAGACCATGTCCATGTAGTGAAAGTCAGGGCAGCACAGCACCCAATATGAAAAATGCACTTACATTTTTGTGGGTGAGCAATAGCAAATGCCCTGAAGTTCCTTGTTGAAGGAATCATAGCACTCCTTTATTTTTCTCCTAATCTGTTCTGCTAGCTGCCACGAAAAAGTTGACACCGCAGATGGAACTTGAGATAACCTTAACTCTCCTTGCCCTCCACGGGCTTTCAGCACGCTGTGCAGAACAAGCTTTCACATTTTGTTCCAAGTTAATGACATGAAAGTGTACTGACTCCTTGGCAGTGCTGGGCGAACGTGAATTAGGAGCTGATAGAAATCTAAAAACTGCAGTGGCCTGTCTTAAATAACCCTTCTAATAAGGATGCTGTGGGCATCCTTAGTTATAATACGGGAATGAAGTGGAATGAGTCACTGAGGCTGATACCAGGATGAGTGTAAACAAATCCCACTTAAATCTGCTTTAAACTCACTTTTTTTTTTTTTTAAATACATGTGCTACCCTGCTGTTGAAGAAGTGACTAAAGCCGAGATGCTGAGCTCCAGAGAAGCTTGGCTGCAGGCAGCCAGCCTTGGCAAAAGTCACATACCAGGTTTGGAAAGAGCTTAGTGGCTGTGAAAGTCAGACGTTCAGCATAACAAGAGAGTGAACATGGTGAGGGCATCAGCTAGGGCTTCCAAAGCTAAAGATGGTGCTGAGTGCAGGGCTTTTGTTTCTTTAAGCAGAGAGGTGCTGCAGTTCAGCCAGGTCTTTTCAAAGTCCCCAAGAGGTAAATCTGCAGCCAGCAGGGCAGTTTAAATGTCCCTGGAGGGAATAAAGG